GGTTTTAACTGTAAGGACAACCAATACACAGATATAAGGAAAGTAAATAGGTTTTCCATGTTTCCTCATGTGCAGCAATATGTAAACTCACATTCAGGTTATCTTTTAAGTAGCCACTTCCAAAAAGTGTCCAGCATGTTACATCCTCCACTGAGTGTTTTTCTGTTCTCAATGAACAGTGCAGCAGCCACTGCAGCTTGTTGTATCCTGAATGTAAAGTAGAGAGGGTAACTGTGACTCTTCCATAACCAGCTTGTTGACTATACTTAGTGCACCTCTCTGTAAATAATGTCTCACCAGCAAAGAAACAATAGAGCACCAAACAGTAGCTGTTAGCTTGCTGTGAAAACAAGTGTGACATCTGCAGTGTTTCCATCCAAAACAGGCGAAAGAGAGGTGCAGACAACGAGATATGAAATCGAGTTACAGATTATCAAATGAAACATCATATTCATGTGTGGACAGGCGTAACCTTTATTCTACAGCCAGAGGGTTTCCATGGATCAGCACATGTGGAGCATGATAATCTGTTCTTGTTGGACTTTGCAGCACTGCCAAACACTCCCCCCATCCCTCCTCTGGTCGCTGACTGCCACTGTGTGGTCATAAATATTTAACACAATTCTGCTGCAGTCAGGTTTTAAAACTGTGTCAGAAATAAATTTGATTCTTGCATCCCACTCATCAGACTGTAATGATAATACTACATACTAAAGGGACGCCTTAAAAATAGGTAGGGAGAGTTTAAAGTAAGTCTCACATTGTTCCTTCCAGAAACAAAAGAACAAGTTGTTCTATGTACCTGCTAATCTTGTCTCAGGGGTAAAAGTATTGAATCTAGCTTTGAAAAATGCAATTCTGTTCTACCAACACTTCAGAATCCATCATCCATCATCATTAAAGAAAAGAGAAAAATCTAAAAACACTTTTTTGATGACAGCAGCTACAGGCGATGTGCTACCTTGTATTTCTGAGGCCCTTTTGTTGTTTGATGGTGTATTTTGCTCCATGACAGCTTGGCTGACATGGCGACAGGTTTTGACATTTAGAGTGCGACTGAAATGGTGTTTTTCATCTTTTTTAAAATATCAACAGTAAATGTCCCATTCCAATTGTACAAGCTTTTTTCCAGAGATATCGTTTAACACCAGCGATCAGAAGTCATACAGAAGATATGGCATATCAGTGGCCCAGAATGCAATGCTGTTACATATAGATTGACACAACCAAGTTTTTTTACAAAATACTTGGATAGTTGCATTTAAGTGTTCACAATGCCAAGTAACAATCTTGCATTACTTCTGTGACAGTTGCAGAGAGGTATTTTGGGAAACTTAAAGCACAAATTGCAGAATGCTTGTTTCCATCCACTACTGTACTTTTTAGGAGTTGGTTGATCGAGGTAAGCAGCAGGAGGCGCCAATTCTCCAAGCAGAAAACCAATAAATAATAGAGTGCATCAGGGCAATCCTGGAATGTTAGCATCACACTGGTTTCCCTCAACAAAATACAGATGGGAGTTTTCCATTGGAATTTAGATTATTCCAGAAGCCCGTGTTGCGTTTTGTTTAGCAAGATAACATTTTTTGAAGCCTGAATGCAATCGGCAGAAGTAAGACGCTAACGTTAGGCTGTAAGCAAACTACACTATGGTCGCATAAGCGTGAGTATGCTCAACGAGGCTGTGAGGCGGACTAGGAAGATTTTGAGGAAGATATATAGATATAGATATATAAGATATAGATTCAAATTTTTTAAATTATCGTCATTTCTGTTTAGGATTTTTTTATGTGCAAATTGAAAATCAAAACAAGTAGATGGAAACACACCCAGGGAGTAAACAAAAAAATGACAATACCTAAAAGTGTGTCAGTAAATAAAAACAGCTTTTAACTTTAATGGTACATATCATGGGTGAGTGACATGGGCAGCACACTGCCGTGGTAGGGCAACCCGTAGGCGGGGCTCATCCCTGCGCGGTGGAAGCTCTCCACCTTGCCAAACTGGCGCAGGTGGAAGAGCAAGGTGAGCTTTCGGGTCATTGTCCTGAGCGCCAGGAAGGAGGCCAGGATCTGGGCGAGCAGGAAGAGGAGGTAGAAGGAGTGGACGGCTCTCTCTAGAGGCAAGATGATAATTCCCTCATCGGTCAGGAAGAACAGCAGCACTGGCAGCTGGAACATGAAAGACAGGAGCCAGAAGGCTGCCAGCTCTGGCACCTGATGACAGGGAGCGAGGAAAGGAGGGAGAATTTTGGATTGGTGCACGGAGGCGATGCAAAGATACAGTAGAGCAGTCAGGCATCGAGTGCTTCGGTTATATCCACATGAAAGCACAGACACACACACACAAACACCTGCACGCACGCACACAAACTCAATGGACAGTTGTTGCCAAGGGCTGATTGTTTACACACGCAGGCAGAATACTTAAGCAGCCACACTTCCTCCGCTGCGTTATTCAGGAGACAAGTCCACAAAAGAGCTTTGAGTTGTGGTTCACGGAGGATGTTGGTTTGAATTACCTTTTCTTCAAGGTTGCCAATGTAGCCCAGATAGAGTCGGACCAGCTCAATGACTGTGAGGAGGATCATCCCGGTTATGAGCAGAGCCTGGTAGTACCCGGGAAGATAATAAAACTGGAAATAAAGCACAGCAGGTATAGGTATGAACACATCTTTTTTACTTGCAGTTCACAGGACTTCACTGTGCAGACAAACATACCTAAAAATACTTTACCCTGGTTTGATCCAAGGAGGGTTAAAAGAGGAGTTGTCACGCCTCTACAACACACGAGCAGCCGAAAAAGGCTCAATAGCTGGTGCGCGATCACAGAACATGAGGACGATCGATTCGCTTCACTGACGCATCCTCGGGGAGGGTGTCATAGTAGTCTACTTCATAGGTGATCAATTATTGAAAATACAGTATATTGAATTAGAAAACATTCTATTGTATATCGGCTGCCATCCATTTGAGTGCTACCGAGAAAGTTCTGTCGTTTAAGTGCTGCATGAATTGCTCTCCACCAGAATAAACCGTCTTTTGATTTGACTATGTTTGTCCATACGACACTAATGATGCAACATGACTGTCCTATAAATGAGCTACCGATCAATCCTTGAGATCAGATTTTGTACACCTCCTGGTTGTTGTATAACAAGTCAATGTGAACCCAGAACCAATAGGAAACAATTCATGTTTTTCTATCCCTTGGACCAAGACAACTGAACTGAGAACAACTAAAAATGAACACTCCTTTCCTGGCTCTAAAGTTGTCTTAGCATGTTAGCTCAATGCTGTTCCAACTGGCTGAGCATGCTGTAGTGCACCAACATGCTGCACCTCCTGCTTGTAGCACACAGTATGCCTCGTGTGTTATAGACACCGAAATGTCTTGTAAATTGGATGCATCGTTTTGTGCTGTTGTTTTTGTGTTTTTTGCTCTATTTATTTATTTTTCTTTTGTCATCATTGCATCATTAATACCTTCTTGTCTTATTTATTACCTCAGGCAATGTCTACCTCATTCTACAGAATGCTTTCTTTTATCTCATCTATTCATCACTCACCTGGATTTGGTGAGTGAAATTGAAGGATCTAAAAGATGTGAAAATGTTTGCATATATTGCCAGCAAGTTCAATGACTCCCTCTTTTAAAAGGATTCATCAGGGGTTTGTTTTATGATTGATATTGCTTCCCTACCACCCAACTAACCTTTACTTCCAACATGAAAACAGCCGAAAACCACCAGCAGGGAAAATAAAACATGTTGAAGTACAGAAGCATCTGGAGGGGAAGGTGAGAAACCAGCTCGTTCGCCACTGCAACACAAATAACAACATCAGGCTGTATAAACACTTGTATTCATTATATCTGTGATTCACTATTAATGTTTTCTTCAACTCATCAGACAGTTGCTTGGAATACAAGTTTCCACAATTTAGATTTCAGGGTTTCTGTATTGCAGACATTGTTTGCAGAGGGTAAACAAAGTAAAGTACACCGCTGATGAAAAGGGACCTCTATTATAAATAATCCACAATTACCGGCACTGCAAAGGTTGTTCATAGTAAGCAGTTAGGAGCCAGTAAGCAGCATTTTTCAGCTGTTGAGGTCAGGAAAATAAAACTTTGTCATATGACTTTTTAAAGTGACATACGACCAGTAATACATCTTCTTAATGTATTCTACAATGGTATTTATTGTACAGCAGTGTACTATCCTAATATTGTAAAACATTGTGTGGAAGCATTGACCAACCAGAGGCGTCCTCCTGCTCCCTGGTGAAGTCGCTGTCTGCTGTCCTGTTGTTGGTGAACACAGAGCCTCCCATATAGGCCAGACCGATCTGCAGGTTCTCGGGAACAGGTGGGTAAAACACAGGCATTGTGGGTAAAGCCGTCGACCATGACCGAGCCGAGGAGTCAGGAAACGGTAACGGTCCAAAACTGTGCTTGTGTTCCAGTGTCTGCTGCCAATCCTGCTCGTCTTAAGTCACACAAGAACACAAATGCACGGAGGATACAAATGGACACACAGAGACGCATGCTGGCAGACTCCGCTGCTAATCAGATTATAGCGAGGGAGGCGGGCTGAGGATTAGGGTGAGACAGCAGCATGCCAGTTTGTTAGGAAGTAAGTGGCCGTTCATAATGCACAGTAAATGTATTTATCTCGAGAATTTTGTTTAAAGGGACAGTTCACCCCAAAATCAAAAATATACATATCTGTGGTGGTATTTACCATATCAATCTCAATAGTTTAGGTGTGAGCTGTCTAATTGTTTGTCTGTGGAATGTCTTGAGTAACTGGGACAAGATTTCTGGAAAAAGTCATTTTTCAAATGTATTTTTTTGGCACTTTGAGCACCACAAGCCGAGTGCCATATATATAGTCCCATTATTAAAGATGAGAAGGAGGAAATCTCTACTGCCGATATCTCCAAAAGGCAACTCACAACAAAGCAATCGACATTGATAAATATTAGTACAGATAGGAGGAACATTTTCAAATGTTGGGCTGGACTGTCCCAATTAAGCTTTACAGAAATATAATATAAAAAAAATAGAATAATACAGTTTATTAAAAAAGGAAAGGAAAACTCTAATTTTACACAACAAATATCATCTTCTTATCCCTAACCTCATATTTATGTTTTCAGTGTGTTAAATACTCTGTGCTGTTTTAATACCATTCAAGGTTGATAGTATGGAAACACCAGGCTCATTAAAAGCATCAATCCACTCATCGAGGTCTTTTACAGCCTTCTTTTTAATTTGTAAAGCATATAAAAAGAGTGACATTGAATAACACACTGCACGCTGCACCCAGCCAGCAAGTCCTCAGAATGGTGCCTGGCCTATCGTTTTGGCCTTGGGGCCCCACTCGTCATTAATGTGACCGCGGGTGCAGCGGCAGAGTTCGGCCACAAGGTGTCATCACAACTCGTCCCTGGGGGGGCGCAGGGGGAAGTGCTGGAACTCCTCTGGCACCTCTTCCCCTTTCTGGGACCTCTTGTAGAAACCCAATGAGTCCAACAGGCTGCTGATCTCCTCTGCCTTCATTTTCTCCACGGGAACAGTCTGACGTGTAGGGAGGGAAACACACACACACACACACACACACACACACACACACACACACACACACACACACACACACATTTGGACGCATGGTTTGAGGCTTAAAGGCAGCAATGCAGCGTAAGTTACATGTTTGCAGAGCAGTAGGTGTTTGCAAACATACAGTATCTTCGGATTCACTTCAGTTTATTCTAATACATTAATTTGGTTTATAAAAATTGGATTTTTGTTAAAACTTGTTCAGTCTCTGCTGATATATATAGTTCCCTCCTGCACATTTATTTTCATTTATTTGTTTTCAATCATTTTGTCTCTGGAATAAATTTTCATATAAAGTCAAATTACAGTCTCAAAGGGCGCCCACATCATGAAACAATAAATGAAAACAAGAAACATTAGACCCTTAATGTGACAAAAGAAAATCCTTAAGGCTTTATGAGGGAAGATAAAAGGTGGAAACCGCAAGAAAGCAGTAAAGTATGAGAATAGCTGACTTTAACACCACAGCAGGGGCTCTTTGTGCATGTAGAAGAGGCTGACGCCAAATCAATTAATCAGTATTAGTTTCAGTAGAGAGTTTTATTGTCTCATACTGGCCTTAATGCAGATTCATGGGCTTTTTTTTTCCCAACACTGACGAAGATTGAAAGTCAGTTGGAAACACTGAACAATTGTGATTTCAGGACATAAAAGTGTTGTAATGCATATCAGCATTCATACCAACTATGCTGTTTCAGTACAAAAATATTGCTCATCTGTCAGAAACTTCAATTTATATACTTTCTTACTCTCTTCATCTGTTTGTTTTTTATTATTATTATATCTTTTTTGTAATTCTGTCTCGCTCTTTCAAACACACTCGGGTCTGTGTGACTTGGCATCTGACGGAGGATCTGAGATCAGATGCAGCAGTCCTATTACTGAATGCGTCTCGACATCCTGGAGCTCCCTAGATAAGCCCCATCACAAGGCGGATGTGCCCCAAAGACCCCCAAACACACATCTCACCTTTACCACCTCGTCCTTTTCATTATAGAATATCAGACGGGGATTCTTCTCCTCCGATGAATCGTATTCCAAGTTGTGGCTACACAGGAAGGAGGGGATCAAGGGAAACAACAGGTATAGGCAGTGTGGTGAAGAATAAAGCGCATGCATCTGTTTTTGCTGGACTTTAAGGCTCACTCAACATTTTGGGGATTTTGAGCGTTTTGGGGAAAGCTCACAGAGCTAGCAACAGACTTGGCAACTTGCTTGAAACATTGTTTTGCTCATGAAAGGTCATGAGAAAATCTGTGTTTTTTTTTGGGAAGATCAGGTTAACAAACAGCCTGAGGAACAGAAGGATACTATAAAGCCCAGCGCTCCATTAGAAAATGATGGAGCTCGGGCATTTTCTTTATGCCTCATCCGACCACACTGGGAGCCTGCAGGGACGACAGGAACGACGGTTGTTAAAACAAATAGCATTGTGCACGCTTCCTTCAATGTAAACAGGTTTCGTATCTCAGTAGGAAGCATACTGACATGACAGCACATGGTTGATCCCTCATCTTACTCATGCCCCCCTTCGTCCACTGTCCTCCTGTGTATAATTTATGAGACATGGCAAGATATGCAGATGTAAGTTTGGATTTCTATCTGTACTCACCAGCAGTTTTCCTCTGGCAATATCAAGCTTCTCTTCAACCTCCGTGTCGTTGTTGCCGTCTGATGCGCTAACAGCGAGAGCAAAAGTGAGCACCAAGAAGGCCCACATTTTTTTTTTACAAGTATCCTTAAGTGCTTTTGCCGAAGTTATTACCAACAATATGTAACCCGTTAATCCACATGGACAGTTTCTCAGGGTGGACTAGACCATGACACATTCCTGTAGGGGAGCAGTGCCCTCCTGTGTTAGATTCTTTAGTTTCTTTGTTGGCTTTCTATCACAGTCTTTATAATCTGAGAAGAAGGTCGCTGGTTAGCCGTATTGTTATTTTGGCTTTTTGTCGTAGAGTTATTAGGCTGTTTTGATCTCGCAGTGGCCATGCAGAAGACCCCTGGCTTTATGGTTTATAGTTTCTTCCACATCAGATGTCATCGGGGGTCTAGAGAAACCACACAACATCTGTGCTCTTATCACTTTTTCCCATACAGTTAAGTTGCAGGTGGTTGATGGCCACTAAGAACCAGCCACGCTCTCATAGCTTCTGCACTGATCCTCATTCGTCCCTTCTGTTAGAAATATCATTTAGACTCATTCAACTCAAATCAGCACATCACTCCACACAACATGTATATTATATTCACAAATGTAGAACAAAAATGTTCTCAACTTAACTGTAACAGTTAAGTAACACAAACTGCCACTCATATGAAACTCTGACATTTGAACATTGTGTGTTTAGTAGATTATATTAAGTTAAATATATTTTAACTTTCGGTATAGTACGCTCATCAAGATTATATGAAACCATTTGTATACAGTTATTCTTAATTCTGGTCATCGGGTACGATTCCCCCGCGAAATAAGACCAAACTATTTACGGCACGCAGGTTCAGCAGGAACTCCAGCGGGGCCTCCAGCGGGGCCTCCAGCGGGGCCTCCAGCGGGGCCTCCAGCGGGGCCTCCGGCAGCGATCAGTTTCATTTCGCTGCTCTGCCGGTCCCCGCTGAGAGCAAACTCTGACACCACATTGCTGGAGAACCAGGCCATATTTCTGGGCCCACTGGAGGGAAGGGAGGCACAGGAGAGCCAGAACCAGGACTGGGTAGACTGTTAGACCCTGTTGCAGTAAAACAAGAAGTTTTCCAAAAGAACTCTAGCTCTACTCAGAAACACTACCACTTTTGTCGACAGGGACCGCCAAAATCAACGCAAAATGAATGTTCCTCGGCTAACATAAAGAAGGAAGGAAACAAGGGGAAAAGATCAAGCAAGTCTCAGTTCGAGCAGATACAGTACCAACACCTCTTAATCTCAGTAATCAACTTGTCTCATTGTTAAATTCATGCATTTTACGGGTTACACGTCGTAACTCTGTCTTGCCAAACAGAAACGCTACAGAAAAATGCAGCGAGAAAGCAAATAAATGTATTTCCCCGAATATGAAATAATTTATTTAACTCAAAATTCTATGCAGATTAAATCAATGATATCATCATGTCCTGCATAATTTAAGTTTCTGCCAAACTGTCTTCAAACACATTTGTTTGCACCAATGCATTCTGTGTCCTGAAGCAGTTTTGCAGACCAAAACATCAGCAACGGAAACGATGAAATAACATGACAGACCTCCAGTGCATTTCTTTCTCACTGTGTTGCATGAGAAGAAATGTATAATTCCTTTGTGCACTTGTGTATGAAATCAGACCTCATGACAGCACAGCACATTTGCACTGCGTTAACACCCTGAAGGGGGAAAACATCTCTGCCCTCCCAAGTTTACACAACTTCTGGGCTCCTACAAAAAAAGCAACTACATCAGGTCACCACAAGAGAGCAGCAACACCCACATGTACACTTTAAGGCAGTTTGGCGGGTAAAGTGTACTTGTGAAGACGTAGCCACAGACAATTATGTTTCCAACAAAAATAAATCATTCCTGCCTGGAATGCTGAAGCAAAACCATCACTCTGTCTCTATCTTTTCCAGACACAGAGCTCTGCAGCCCAGAGTCCTGCGCTCTGCATGTACTATTTGAGATTATGTGTCAAATGGCAGTAAAACAGTCCCCCTTTTCAACAGGGTTTCCTCCCCTTGGCAGCCATCGTAAATCCGTGGGCCTGTATGCTTCCCGAACTCTAGTTATTGTTTCTTTACGTTTGCAGCTTTGTGTTTTAAAAGTTCCACTCCCGTTTCTCACAATGCATGGATCGGCCTGAAGGATTTTAAATGGTTGATTTAGAGAAAGAAAGGAAGAGTCGATGAGAGAGGGGAGAAAGCACAATGAGCAGTGGGGGTGGGGTTGACTCCTCGGTCTATATGTGTGGATGCATACCATAGGTGCTCACATTCAGCATGTTTCACCTTACATCATGTGGTGTATGCCAAAAAGGGGATGTTGTTACGATAGATTTGCTGACAAAGGGGAAAACGCAGTCATTTATAACTAGAGGGTTATGGAGCAGAGACGTATAGACGACGAAGACATTTGCAAAATTCTTACTGAGCAACTATTTTTCAACACTTGCAGCTGACAAAAGATCAAACGCTAAAACATGCACCTCACTGTAATCCTGCCTCCCTCGGAGAGCTTGTTACAAAGACGCACACACTTCCTGTTTCTCCAAAGCACCAGATGCTGCCTCCCAGCCAGCGGGACAGTAGTAGTAGTTTGTGTGTCTGCTGTCTAATGATGTGCTCGGCCATTTGTGAGAAATATTCGGCTCTGGTGTCTATTTCTCTGTGCTTTAAAGGGAGACATGCATTTATATATATTTAAGGATGACCAAGGGAGAGGAATAAAAATATAACTGAGTATAAACAGTTATCTGTGTGTGTGTGTGTGTCTGTGTGTGTGTGCTTTTCTGTCTGGAGCCTCGGGGCAACATGGGGGGGGAAGCCTGCTGTTTGTCTGCCTGCTGCGCTCCAGTCTGCTTATAAAGAAGAGAGGCAGTGTTGAAAGAAGTAAAGGCCATGTGGAGGGTTTCATTCACTAAAGATACAACGTGAGTGTGCTGCGCTGTATACTGTACAGGGTTCAAGGAGCAGAACATTATTTGCTTTACTTCGAAACTTAGTTTGTCCAGCACAATACATAAAATAGCATCACATCTGGTTAAGAAAACTAAAACGTTACTGTGTGGTCATTGTATTATTGCTTCGAGAGGATGATACTATCCCACATCAAGGACGTCCTCCCAGCAGACCTGGACAGCCACCAGTTTGCGTACCGAGCAAACAGATCTACGGAGGACGCGGTCTCCACCACACTTCATACGGCCCTGTCTCACTTGGAGCACCCTAACACATACGTCAGGATGCTCTTCATTGACTTCAGCTCTGCCTTCAACACCATCATCCCCCATAAACTGGTGCATAAACTCAAAAACCTTGGACTTTCTACATCACTCTGTTCATGGATTCTGGACTTTCTCTCAAACAGACCACAGAATGTCAGGATAGGGAACCTGACATCAACAACCACCATCCTGAACACTGGTGCACCGCAGGGCTATGTGCTCAGCCCGGCCCTCTTCACCCTCTTCACCCAGGACTGCTCCGCCACATATTCCTCCAACACAATAGTGAAGTTTACTGATGACACCACTGTGGTGCGACTCGTCTCATGACGAGACACACTACGAGTGGTGCTCGGACAACAACCTGGTCCTGAACACCACCAAGACCAAAGAAGTCATAGTGGACTTCAGGAGATCCAGGAAGACCACACCCTCTCCACTCTACATAAGTGGGGAGGAGGTGGAGAGGGTGGACAGTATCAAAATCCTGGGGCTCCACATTACTAAAGACCTCACTTGGTCCCTGAACACATCACACCTGGTGAAGAAAGCCCAGCAGAGGCTCTTCTTCCTGAGGAAGATAAAACAAGCTGGCCTGCCCCCTGCACTTCTGGTTAACTTCTACAGAAGCGTGATCGAAAGCATCCTGTGTATGTGCTTTACTGTGTGGCACGCCAGCTGGACAGCAGAGAACAGGAGGGACCTGGCCCGGGTGGTTAGAACAGCACAGAGGATTGTGGGAGTTACCCTGCCTGACCTGGACACTGTGTATGCTGGCCATCTCCAGAAGAAGGCCAGAAACATCTGCACAGACATCACTCACCCGGGTCACTCTCTGTTTGTTCCACTACCATCAGGAAGGAGATACAGGACCATCAAAACCCAGACTAACAGGCTGAGGAACAGCTTCTTCCCCAGAGCGGTTTCCTCCATCACCCCCCCACCGCCACCCACCACCCGACCCAGCTCACACCGGACAGTGCTGAAACAAATATAGTCAATAACACGACACTGTAACCAAGCACATTTTTCACTTTGAAGCCATTGATGCCTGTGCTTTATCTTGTTTTATCTTGTATATATTTATTTAATGTCTTGTTTTTAAATTGTCTTGTCTTAATGTTTTTATACACTTTGTAACTGTTGCTGCTGTACTGATGAGTCGCCAACTCAATTTCGTTGTATGTTCGTACAATGACAATAAACATCCTTATCCTTGTTCTCTTAGGGGGGAGAGTATACATGGAAAGACTATAACTTGTGTCATTCTGTATATTGTTAATCTGCAGTATTTGATTGTCATGATATTTCTTCATGGCTGTGACTCTCTTACAAAAGATACAGATTGAATTAAAACAACGAAGCAATAAAAAGGGGAATTGAGTTAAATGTCTATGCGTGACACCAACCGTAAGCAAAATCACAGCTCATGGAGTAAACGAGATCGTCGCTGAGTTTGATTTAGCTTGCGTGCGGTTGGCTTGAACCTACGACCTAAAATAAGTGGCTCCAATTCTCCCCACACAGGGAGGCCGCAGAAGGCTGTGAGGCGCTGCTGGCCTTGGCAGAGGATCTGTGTTGTACAGGCACGGATGACAAGGATGGTTCGCTGCCAGTGGCCTTGTTTACAGGGTCTTTGTTATGTTGTTGGTGAAGGTGAGAAAAGGCTGAAGCCTTTTACTAATGTTACAGCCTACAAGTAATTACAATAAGCTCCTCCTCAATCAGATACAACAATTATGGTTAGATTCTTTAAATACATGTTGGCCATAATCGGTATGTACTTAAGTTTTGAGAGACTTCTTAGATTGTGATATTACTTTGCTTACAATAGAATGGTGTGGCATTTTGGGAAATATTAGCTTTCTGCCAAGATGATTGATATAAAAAGGAATAAGGAATTCTCTGCACCCAGCCAAAAGAAAGCACATGATCCCACGTATAACTGTGAATTGCCATATTTACCTGTGGAGAGAGCCAGGCTAGCTGTTTCTCCTATGTGTTATGCTAAGCTAACCAGCTGCTAGCTCCAGGGTGAAATCAGTCTTCTCATCTGACCCTCAGCAAGAAAGCGAATAAGCTTATTTACCAAAACTATTTATTCCGGTAAAATATCTGAATACTCCTTCCACCACTCCATACAGTGGTGAATATTCCGCCACTGTCCAACAGTTGGCACCACTTGCAGATATGAATATGATGATTGTATTTTTTATAAGCAATAAACTGCTTTCGACTTTTGATTGAAACACTAGAGTGCTGCAAGGATGAGTCCTAAAACCCGGAAATGCGGTTCCATCGTCTCAAAGTCAATGGGTGTGTGAGGCAATCCCTCCATCACTTATGCTCTGAATGTTTTAATTCAACACCTTAAAGGATTCACTTCACTCATTGTATGTATCACTTCTGAAGTTTGGGATGTAATATTTATATATGTATACACTGATACTGATGTGAAGAAATGACCTGTGATTTTGAAAGCTAGTGACCTGTTAGTGTAACAATCTGGGTCCAGGTGCTTTGCTAACATACAGTCACCATGCTAAAGTGTCCTGCAAATCATTAATGCCTAACCGTCTCTGTGACGCTGCTCTGTAGCTGACCCTGACCTGCCTCCCCGGGGGGGGGGAGCAACTCAAAAAAGTTTCCCTATCACATTGCTGAAGCAACAAAAAACACAATCCATGTCTTCTGCGATCACATGCGAGAGCTACAACAGTGTTTACAATTGAGCAACGAGAGCTCATTTTCAAGAATACAGCAGTGACAGTTTGCTGCTTTTTGTACAATATGTAGGTCAAGTGGGAATCATTTCACTGACAAAGATTCAAGTGTTTCCATAATTAAATTAGGGATCAGGATAAGGCGATAGTTGCGCCTCGTATGTGACATCATAGCAGACGTGAAGGTTTGGCGTATGAGGTGGGAAGGGGGTGAAGAGATTTGCACTGATGGATGCCCAGTTGCTGGCCACATCAGTGGAGCCGGGGGGCCAGCAGACAGCAACCGCTGTTCCCCTCCCTCTAATCTGTGTCTGGGTAATCAGAAACACATGGCTCCCCATAATGGCTCCAGTGTTGTCCTGTGAAGTAGAACAGGGCTGTAAGGGTCGGGTACACACCAGCACACAGCGACGGTAAATATACAGCTAACACTTTCCTTCACATGCCAGTGCATACCAACTGCATGCACAAAAATGTATCCCGGCATCCATATAAAAGCAAACGCAGCCTCTGTTAGGCTGCTATCAAATTGAGTCCAACCACACAGGCCGTGGATAAGAAGGGTGTGAATAAACCTGACCTGCATGGCCTCACAAAGGGAAATGTTCTTGCAGGAGAAAACTCCGCATCGACATGTGTTTCTGAGACTGGTTTTGGCAAAAAAAGTATTTGGAGTGTAAATTTGCGTCTCGAACAACAAAGCTGTTGTAAGCTACAGTTCGTCGGTCGCAGACAGGCCTGATTGTCAGGACATTTGGGGTTCAGTGCATGAAAACATAAGCCATCTGCTTATTTTCCTTGGGTTTGGGCAGACACATTTGGTCTTGTGATCATTTTCCGTCTCAATATCTGGAATAAGGCAGCAGCATTCTCCCTCTCTCCCCGCTGCTCCGGATTGGGGTGAGTGAGAAGCAATGAGGGGAAAAAAAAAAACGTTGGATCAGCCTGTGGAATTATGTGAAAGCTGAAACCTCAAGCCACATTATGAAGTCTGAAGTCCCACTTTACTGCACAGATAGCGGATGGATGGGTGTGTGAGGGAATAAAGGAAGGGGGGAGGGAGGAAGGAGTGAATGAGGAAGGAGGAAAATAAGCTAAAACATGAAAAAAACATGAGTTTAAAAGAGAGAAAGGAAAGGAAAAAAAAAAGCATCTGACTGATCTGCTTTCTATTAGCTATCCAAATCTTCCCCACTAATACTCATTCCATAGAATTATGCTGACAAAGGGGGAAAAATACAGGGCAATTTGAAGCCCCAGACAACTTTTTGCACACCCCTTCATGTGAAAGAAAAGCGAAAAAAGAGAGAGAAAAATCTTCACCTGGATAGAAAACGCAACGGTTGCTTAATTACATTTCTGGATATTTCTATTCATTTCTATTTCCACATTTACAGAACTTGTCAAGATGAAAACTATGTGTCTTCCAGAAGCTCTACGTCTGAACACTGCTGGAATGATGCATGGGTCCATCTCAAAGTAGTTTTACATGTCACGGATGACGCAAAGTAAGTGGACCTCAAATAAATAGCAGTTTACGGTATCATACATTGACCTGAAGCACAACACTGACAAGTGTGTCCATCCCAAACTGGGTTTCAGCTCTTTTGACCTTGTTTAAAAACGTTGTTTGTCTGAGCATCTATGTGGGAGGTCGGGTTGTTGTGTGGTTGCTCTTAATTTGCGCATTAAGAGCTGCTTTTCTTGGTCGGTGGCCCTCTGCAAGGGAGTTTTGGGTCTATTATAATGGCAGTCTTAAATCGCAGAGTGAGCAGATGTCAATGGAAATCTATAAACACACATTTGATGCTGCCTCTCTTCCCCATTCTGGTTGTGCGCTGACCTCAGTTCTCAGTGGTTTTGGCTCAAGAAAAGCACCAGCTCCATTTCCAGTAAATGTCATTTCATAGTTGCTTCATTTCCACAGTGCTGAGAAACAACATTTAACGTGTGAGGAGGACTGCAATTAGACGGTGTTTCTCGCAGACAGCGCGTCGACAGGGATAAGAGAAAAAAAAACAGCTTTTTCAAATCTCCTCCGCTCGTTTCAGATGCAGAGAATTCGCCAGGGACATGAGCGCTTTTAGAGGGGGAAAAAAAACGTGTTGCAGCAGACACACATCTATGTCAGACAGTGAGTCGGTGGTTTGAACACTAGAAGAAAAAGCTACTCTTCAATTGTAAGCGTCAAAACCTCAGACTCTGTTACATTGTGGTTTTTCAAGAAATATCGTATCTTGGAGAGACTGCAAACATTTCAGCAATAGGTTTTCAAAACAAATAAGGGGATTTGCGCGGAAAAAAATGGCTTTCTGTCACCGCATGAAATCCTGGCTTTGTTTCTCGAACATATCTATCCATGCACGCCAATACACGTTACTTTCCACTGAATGCCTCTTACAAGATTTCAAGCTTTACCCATTATCCATAACTTACATGGGCACCGAAAAGCCGCTCTCGACCGACTCCACGGTAGAATTAATGTTTTCAACCCCTTTCAAGTGTAACTCGACTCAACCTTTTTCTTTCTGCTTTGCATTGCAGAAAATATTTGTCTTTTCCCCCCTCACTCATAAATTTCTTTCTTCCTCTTCTTGCAGGGACTGAAATGGCTTCCAGATGTGGCTCCAATCTGTTCCCGTTGCCATGGAAACACAGGGACTGGAATAGGTTTTCTGAGTCCAGGGCTTTTGGTTGACTCATCGGGCCCGAGTGTTAAAGCCTCGCTGTTTCTATAGACTTGGCACACCGAGAGCGCCCCTGCTCCAAGTCATGTTTAGACTGGCAGCCCACATGTCATCGAACCCTGATCCCATACTCCTAACACTGACTTTTTGACCAGGTTTTGCATTATCCTATATAGTCGACCCCTTTGTGTTCCTTTGTGTTGCAGCGTCACAGCGAATTTATGTTCCACACGTGAACCTTCAATACAACAAGGGAAATATTACTCTCAGCTAACTGCAGAGGGGGATATGAAAAGGCCAAGTTTCATAATCATACACAGGCCTCTCCCGTTTAAACCCATTCAAAAGCAGCAGGCACAGAAATCCATCACAAGTCATACACATGCTAAATCAACACGGTTTATCCTGAAACGCTGCACAGGGGCGACATGCAATGCACATTTCCCAAGCTGTGACTTTCTCACAACATGTGAAGGATCAAAAAGCCAGAGAGCATGTGTTGGTATGCTCAGCTGAGTATCTTCTCCATCTGCGAGTTGAGGACGGGCAGATGGAGGCAGTTGTGTCAACATTCCTCGTCATCCTGGCATTGGATCAGACTTCGAGCCACGGTCACATGAAAAATGGAATGATTTAGGGTGGGTGGGGGGGGTAAGTTTTGTCTGACAGTCTGTATGTGAAATTGTAAAATCCAAAGGAAGATTGATTTGGAGACATCAAGGTTGTGGTGGGTGAGTCAGACTCAACACAGGATACAAAACACCATTCTGTGGTTATTTGAGCTAAATGGAGCATGTTTATTATAAACTTTAGCACCGTGTTCCCCATCTTACTTTTGGGTGTTTGCATGCTGACATTTGCTTATTAGCACTAAACATAAAATGCAGCGGATGCTTATGGGAATGTTATTAGTTTCAAAAGGACTATATTAATAAACGAACAAACAATGGGTTTTGGGGCCCAACGATATTGTTGGAAAAAACGATATTGCCACCCCTTCAGCTATGCCTTTAGCATGGTGCCGTCTTTCAAGATGCTGATGGAAATTATTAAATAGTTTAACCTGCCCTAAAAACATTATCTTCTTAGAATGGTCCGTAAAAGGTCTTATCTGCATCCATTTGGCGTTATCATCAATCAAAATATGCAAGTCCCTGACAAGTCCAAAAGTGGATAACAGCTCTGAAAAATCTTAATACAACTCAACATGTGTGTACAATCTCCATGCATATACACAGCAAGTAGATCACCATGTCAAAAGAGCAAAACCTAAAGCAAAGCTGCTTCGCCTTCTGCTTCCAATTACCCATCACATGACCTATCCATCCATCCATCCATTCATGCTCCTGCATTGCCTTGTGGCCCAGTCCTGCTATACCCCTCTTCTCCCTTCCAAAAGAGGACATATATGCAGCGCGTGATTAACTCCTTAGCACAGAGTTTCCACTGTTTTTCCCCTCATGAAAGGAGCCTTTTGTCACCCCCATCCTGAAGGAGCCAAATGAAGAGTTCCCTGGTTCCCTCAGGCTCTTTGAAGAGCCGCTGTGACCGAATGACTCCTCGTCCCTGAGACTCGGCAGCCCAGAGTCACAGGAAAGGGTCAAATATCAACCAGCATTCGTATGAACATGATAAAATACAGTATGTATGTGTATTACCCAATACCTGCCTTTTCACCATAGTATTGTTCTAGTTGATTGTATGCTGGAATAAGACATTTATAGAAATAATGACGGATTTTTTAATTTTTGGTTTGACTAGAGCTACATGTATTGCTTTTTTTATTCCAAAGAAGTAAATAAGGGAAACACAAATTGAATGACTATACACAAAATGGAAATCAAAGTTGCCAAAAACAAACCACAAAAAACAAAATATACCTTACAGTTGGTAACGTTTTTGCAGCTTTTCAGGCCCTTCTTTACAAAAATGCACTGTACGCCAATAAAAACAGGCATGGGCCAGTCAGATAAAAATTGCCACTTCATAATTACACAATGTTATGGTTTGAGTATATGCAATTGTTTCAACAGTGGTATCATAGTAGTATTGTACAATCCTTTCTGTATTGTTTTATGGGAGGCAATAATAACAACTGGAGGGAACAAGGTTACAGATTTCCGGTGGAGCTATTAATGCCATATAACTACACTCTGCGTCATGCAGTTAAGTGTTACACAAACAATAACATCAACAGAGAACAAAGCCAATGTCAACTTTACAAGATGGAAAGTACTCATACTGTAGGTTTGCTTCAGAGCTCAAAATAAGCAACATATCAAAAAAAGCAAAAACAACATGAAAGCCAGTTCATTGACACCAAGAAAAACAGAAGAACTAAAAAAGTCATATAAGCACAGCTTACAAAGATAATAAAAAAGTACACAATGTATACAAGTTGAAAAAATAACCAAAACGAGTTGTACCTTGATAAAACACAAAAAAAAAACAAGACCATTTTTCAAATTAGCTGTGTTAATGTAATATATTCTTCAGCCCAAAACATACCAATGGCATGTTGACACACTACCTGTCATCCATTGTTCATAGCTCATGTTTTAAATGCTACTTTCCAAATAGCTATCCACCAACAACTGAAATAAAAGGCTTTTTTCCTCAAATTTTGGTTTACATATTTTAGGATCAACATTTAGGAAAACATGGCTTCTTTTGCTTTAACTGATCCACAGTTGAGGCACATTTTAATACTCGAGGCACGGTACCATTTAGCCTAAAGAAAATGAAATTAAGCACCCTGTTACTTCAGCACGAGTCTACTAGTTTAAGATAACACCATCCTTAAGACAAACCATCCTTGGCAAGATTTTTTTCCTACACAACGCCCGATGGCATAAACAAATACATGTGAAATGGGAGTAGCTCAGTTGGCAATATTGTTTCCCTAGTTTCTCGACAAAACTAAAAGAACAGATAAAGACACACGGCAGTCTCCTTCTGTGGCCAGATTTGTAGAGAATACTTCTAAAAGTCATTACTTCAACAAAACCATCTATTGTATCTGATTTGTTGGGATATGCAGTACGTTTTTCTTAAATACAGCATACAAAAACTGCAGATGTTGCTCTATTACAGAGAAAGTGAGTGAGTTTAAAGTGATTTACAAGCATGACATAAAGTGAGGATATAGAATACCTTGAGATTTCATTTTTGGTTTAGTGGTTTAACTGACTGAATAAAACGTACAGCAAGAGCACATTCTGGTGATTTGGTGTTAGCAGAAGTATGAAAGAGGTTTGAAACAGCCCTTTCTGAAGATCAAAGAGCTTGAATGGGTTCTGAAAAACCATGTCTGACAGAGTTGGACAAAAGAGGGCTAAGACTTTAAATAAAAAAATGTAACATTTCTGTAGGTAAAAGCCTTGAGACCAACGCTAAAGCTCTTCAAAGTGACTCACAAGCACAAAGGACAATTGTCCTAAATGCATGACTTGCATACTTTGGAGTGCCAGATTTTGTTTATTAGAGAGAAGCATTCTTTATAATGTGGTATGTCAACCTGAAACTGCTAGAGTAGAAAAATAGAGACCAACAAAAAGTGTTGCTCTTACTTGACATAATTAAGTTGACCTTCTTCTGCAAAGAATAGCCTTGACATAAGGAATGAGGAGGGTAGCTTAAAGGTATAAAACTGTATTTATGCATGTTGGCCCACAAACAAAACAAAAAACAAAACAAAATAGCTTGCAATACCCAGAGGATCTAATTTTCTTGTTGTTTTTAGTACCCTTAGTACCTTTGGAGAGCGTGCATAAAATAATAGCTATTTTTCTGACACCTTAGTAAATTACAGTTATGGAACCCCAAAAAGCAATCCATATATAAAAATAGTGGTGGACATACTGCAGAGGGATAGAGATGAATGAACTATGGATTATGTCTGTGAACCACTGTTCTGTTGTGTCCGGCATAGCCACAGGTTGTGGTGTGAGCTTGATACATAGTTGTTACACAAAAAGGGATTCTTGAAATGAAATACAATGGTGTATAGAGGTCATTATAATACAACTCACCAATACGACTCAACTGCACCCTTGATTTAGAAGCATTTCTCACTCTTGACCGGTCCTGGAGTCGCAGCACACTCAGAAAATGTTTAAATTCCTTGATTGAAAAACTACGAGGTTCACCTTCCAACAAATCCATTTTAGTCTCTTTGGTATCCATCACAAAATTTGTCTTTGAGAACATTTATTTCACTACCTGTGGTGGCATTATGGCTGTCTTTTGCTGGGGTGTTTTACTTTCCGATGTATCCAAAGTACCCTCCTTGCCTTTCTTCCTGGGTGGCTTTTTCATGGGAGTCTTCTTTGGTGTAGGATCAAACATCGGGTCCCCTGCCCTTGAGCCGTTCAAGTCCTGCTTCTCCGGGCTCTTGGCTTCAGGGGTCCCGAGGTCAGTGGCGACGGGTGCCACCATCTTCTGGAGGCTGCTCGAGGTGGGCAGCAGGGGCTTGGTGGAGCCCTGCTGGCTCAATCCACTGGAGGGATTCCTCTTGGCTTTCTGTGGAGGTGTTGGCTTCTCCCGGTTTCCCTTAGGCGTGGAGAGCCCATTGGTCTTCGTCAGACCCGTCCCCTCGTTCCTGTTGATGCTTTGGGTTTTCTCCTTGAGCTGAGCAGCCAGGAGTGTGGCCGCCTCAGAGTTCATATGAGGGTGGATCACCTTGGGGCTCTTGGGTGGCTCCTTGGGGGTCTCCTTTGGACTTTCAGCACCCTTCTTCTCAGATGAGGAGCTGTGGAAGTTACTTATCTTCTTGAGGGCATTATGAACCACACCATTGATGTGCTCCATGTGATTGGGACTGCTGTGCTCATCCCCAGACTTCTTACCTCGCAGAGGTTTGTGTTTGCTGGGGGAGCCATTGACGTCTGCTTCCTTCACCTCTTGTTTCTTTTGTTGCTCACGACTTCTCTCCTTCATTTTCTGCCGCTCCTCGCTCTTGGCCGAACCATCGCTGGAGCTCCTATTTTTCTCCTTTGGCACAGCAAGTGCCTTCAATCCCCCATGCCCCTGTTGCTCTGGCTGGGGAGACCCTGTAGTATTGCCGTGTATCCACGATACTTTGGGCTTAGTGGACGGGTCTGGTGGGCGTGGTTTGGGCTTGCCAGGTGAAGGTGGAGGCTTTCCGTTGCGCTTTGCCTCTGGTGTAGGAGTGCCATCCCCATCGTCCTCCTTAGACTGCTTGGAGAGGCGAGCGATGCGAGCGTAGAGAGCCACAGTGGTGGATTCAGAGCCACTGGTGGAGCCTTCGCTGTCAGAGGACTTGAGCAGGGGCTGCTCGCTGCCTTCTGGTTTTGTGAAACTGGTGTCTTTCAGGGAGGTGTATTCCCCTGCATCATCCTCATTAGCTTCTGGCTTCTCCGTTGGTGGGCCGGGGCTGCCCTTCTCTTTGCTTTCGTTTATAGATTCTGTGGATCATTAGAAGACCAACAGGTATTAGTCCAAGATTAGATAATCAAATAATTTAAATATCCTCTCAAGTGATCAATTAAAGTGAGATCATGCAATTGACAGAAGAAGTAACGCATTCTCTCTTTATAAAATTAAAAGTTAAATTCATAAGCAATAACATGAAACCATGGCAAAATGACACTTAGGCTTTTGCTTAGCAATACTGTACAGCTATTATTGGCCTGGTTAGTTACTGGCTTATAGAGGCTAATGCTTGTAATGTTAGTCAAGTTTCGATATACTAGATATTGTTTGTGTCACTGACATTACCCATTCTCTACTTGTGCACCTGTTAAACTGAATTCTAGATTTGTCATTACCCTGCTATTAGCACACCGTATGAGACTGCTTTATATCGATAAAAAGATTGTTTAATTTCCGGGGGTTTTTTTTGGTTCAGAAACGATGAGATTCAACATATCCGTGATTTGCAGAAACATACAATGCCAACATTTTACTCTGGCGACTGGGTTGCAGCCTTTAAATCTAAACAATGTGATTTATCTGTTACCTTCACAAATAGCAGCAACACACATGATTGAAAGACTGATACATGTACCACTTCATTTGCTAATTTATTTACACATACTTGGAACTGGAGTGGCTCCAATGCGACAGATCCTATCAGTGCCGTTCTAACTCAAAACCCTTTTGTGATGTTTACAGCAATTATTTTGTGCCCGAGGCTTTTTACTTAAAATCAATTGTTTCTAAGGCCGTGGACCATTCATGAGAAGAATGACAACTAAACCAAACTAGAAAGAGAGCACTAAAATAAACATCAATCACTCAGCACGCACAAAAATCCCCCAAAACTAAACCTGACTTGCACTGTCAGACATCCAGAATAGAAACTGACGGAACGGGTGTTTTCCATCAAACTTCAAGGAGTTAGTCACTGTTTGGATTTGGGCCATGTGCTGACTTGCCCAATCCATTTCCTGTTTATACTCGCCTTGTTCTCGAAGCAAAACCTGGGTCTAGATGGCATATGATAAAGAAACTATCTCCATAATGAGATTTACAGAAGCGGGTGAGTCACTCAACGGTCACACTGGGAACTTGACTTCTTCACTGTGTCTATCAGTGTGTGTGTGTGTGTGTAAAGACCCCATGCCAAAGACAAATTAGGGATTTATGTGCGTCATCCTAGATAACTGTTTATTTATTCTAACAATGACTCACCTTCGTGGGGCAAACAGTAAACTGGCCCCTCATCTCTGCTCTCAAAGGAAGAGAAAGACTCCTGGGACGACCAGGAGGAGGGGGAAGGCTGCTCTGCCACTGAGGGGGGCTCGATGAAGCTGCAGTTGAAGGTGTTCTCTGGGTCGTGGTGTGCTACTGAGAACAGAAAACAAACGCAGAAGCCAAAAGGTCAGCCAGAGGGTATTGTACCATGTTACAAGAACAACAGTCTGTTCTCACTCACTCTCACAACTGCTGCAGAGATGTAGAAAGTGTTGGTTTAATTGAGTCTGTGGAAAAACTGTGCTTTTTAATTGGTTTTGAATTTGAGTTCACAAAGGCTCCGGCATTGTGGGTTTTATAAGCAAATGTAGATATATTCTTTGTGTAAGCTTTTTTTATTTATTTCATTTTACAGTTTTTTTCTTAGCAGGTTAAAAGACAAACAAGAAACAGCATTCTGACAATCGTACGAGAAATACATTCTAAGCCATAGCTATCGGGTCTGCAGCTACTTGTTGACCCAAACAACAAAAAAATGCATTCATTTATGAATGCATTCCCATAACAATATGTAGGTCATGTTATGTTTCTCTCCGACTGTCTGCCTCGCTCTCTCAGTCTTCCTCCCTTTCTGCTGACCCTTCTGTCTCAGGACAGCTGTGGTTTCCGAGGAAAACTTGAAGGTGATCTGGCGTGAGTTTTGACTGAAATCCTTTTGGGCGTTACCTTGACATGACCGACCACATCAGATGCTCCTGTTTACATGCCCACTGAGACATGGGTCGATCCAATTGTTTAGACCTCCAATAAAACCTAGGTGGAAGAAGTTCCCTAAAACTGTGCCAGAACCCTGGCCAGGAACAAATCCTGGCTCCTTTGCCGTTGTTGTTTGACTATAACTAAAAAGATGAGCTATTAAGAAGCTCTCTACGGCCGGATTTTTGCAAACTTGGTGACTTGTAGAAGCATTAAAGCTGTAAAAACTGCATTTACTTTGTATTTTATCAGAGTGTAGGGACCTTATTTTCCATAGCTTTGTTTACATTCTCAATCCATCTCCCTTTTTTAGTGTTTGACATGCATGGACTTTTAAAATGCTAACAAACTAGACAATGTTGATCTTAATTTCACTCAAATACACATTACTTTAGCAGATGGTCTGTTTAGAGGTTCCATTTGTGTGTTTATTGTTATGTACCAATCACCAAGCCAAAATCCTTGCAAGTGTTCCTGGCAATAAACAAATTCTAATTCTGACCATAACATGTAAACTACAGATATCTGCATTATTTTTCAACATAAATCGGTCTGTGTATTAATGTTCATTCTCTTGCATCCTGTGTCCATCCACCTGCCCCACAAACACGGGGATCAGACCTATGTTCCCTCAGCATCATCCCTGGCCCATGCTAAAATCGGTTTATAACTTTTTTTAGATATCTAGCTAATAATATCCAATGACCGACAGACAGTCTGGCAAGTACTTTTACGTTGGTTAGGTTTAGACGTGGGGAATGATATTGGTTAGGGTAAGAATATCAGGGTAAGCCAATCAGAGGCAGAGTAGGGAGGGTCATGCCTTCCCACAGTAGGAAAGAAATATCTCAACCAGGGAGGTCTGATGACTTTTATTTTTAAAAGGTTGTCAGACAAATGGGACTTTGGACATTTAAAGAGTAATCAAACTATTGATCATATTTGGAATAAAGGGATGTTGGAACAATGGCATGGCACTACTGATCTGAGGGAACTAGGGCTTAGGGAACATATGGCTGAGGAAATATATGTCTGGGAAAACATAGGCTTCAGGAAACATGGAGCTGAGGGAATAGGGTTGAGGAAACAGGGCGGAGGAAACATTGGGCTGAGGGAGCATAGGACTCAAGGAACATAGACTTGAGGAAACATAGGGCTGGGGGAACATACTCCCACTATTAAGTCATGGTCAAATCAGAACTGGTTCATAGGTGTGTGTGTGTGTGTGTGTGTGCTACATTTTTTTAGTTGTACTGACATGATTGTACAAAGCAATTTTCAAGGACCCTGATTTGTTTGTTTTCCTTGAGGCTGCTTTTATCTACATTTACAAATGATAGATTTGAACTGTATAAGTTACTACCACAGAAAATCTGTTTCAATGTCTTGCTGAGATGAGAAATAAGACACAGAAGGTAAATCTATATTGCTACACTGATCGATGTTCTCACATTTATTCAAAAGAAGTCACCAAAACCTCTAAACAACATATGTTTCAGTTTGACAGTCTACAGTATTTGTGTTGCTCATAGGGTGGATAATGTCAACACAGGTGCAACATTTCTACAATAAGCAAGTACAGATGTGTGTAAAAGTGGGAAAAAAACAAGCGTTTCAATATGAATGCAGAGGGGACTTCCCTCCAAGGGCACCCATTTATGTGATTATTTAAGGATATCCTGTTTACAACAATAACGGCACCCTGTTCTCTCTACATGTGTAGATAATGTTGGACTTTTGTGGCTACAAGAGCGACCCCAAAGTCTTCCATCGCACTACTATTCTGATTGGATTAACTTCAAAAAAGAAATCAGCTGTATGTGGATGTGGTAGATTAATAACAATATACAGAACCCAGCAAAATGTTTACCCAGAGGTGTGGATGACAAAATAATATTTTGCTCGAATTGGTGCATTCTCTGTCTTCACTCCTGTGTGCAGGGTCAGCAGCAGGCAGATAGGCAGAGAATCTGAAGGACTAAGGAATGTAGAGCAGCTAACCTATGCAAAGAATTCAGTTGAGTTAGTCAATAAGCTAACACATGGGCATTTTTTGCGACATTACTTGTATGTCGTGATGAACAACTGCTGCCCTTGAAAGTTGCTCCCTCCAGACTGTGGGTCTAGAGGGGCAGATTGTTCTGCAGACTGGACGCCACTGTGATCCCTCCCTACATGGAGGCCAACACACAACAGGGCATTATTGACACGTCCCAGCTGCAGAGCTCTGCCACCACAGTTGCTCAGTGGGGGGGGATCCGTTAACAGGCAGAGGTAGTCCAAAGGCTAGAGGGCTGGGCTGGGACAAGAAGGTTGCTAGTTAAAAAGCCTGGTCCAGCTGTGGAAATCTGGACATAGAAGGATCATATTAAATGCCAATAAGAAGAAGAAACAACATGTTTCTGCCTGAAATAGTCTCTAAAACCAATGCAGTACACTAAGTGACATCTAACATGTCCAACTCAGAGCCTATTATTAACCAATCAGTGACACAACCAACTGCATTCATTTTCAAATATTCCTAAAACTCAAGCTGACTTTTTTTCTTTGTTCCATCTTAATTACTTCAGGGTGTGAGAAAGTTTTCTTGAGGCAGCTCACATCTGCATGAAAGAGGAGTTGAGTGTTGCTGCAAACACATTTGCAATAACAGCCAACTTTGCCGGGATAAATAAAGATAGAAAAACGCAGGTGGCGCTTCTTCTCAGCCCAAATCCGTGGGTAAGCATTTGGACACAGAGGATGCAAGGAATGCAGGACAGACGTGAAACTGCTGGGCGTGGAGTAAATATGCTTAGAATGGAATGCCAAACTACAAGCAAACAGCCTCAGTTATGCCAAGGGGCGTATAGGTGACAGTGTGTTACTGTAGCTTTTCCTCTGAGGCCAAGTATGCTAACAGAGGTTGTTGTCTTCCTTCCTTACTTCCCCCTTGTTCCTTTTTATATTTTGTCTTGCCACATCTGTTGCGACTGACCCTGATGTGGATGAATCACAGTTCTGACACGGGCTGGGGTAAATTTGACCACTTCCTGTTTCCAGCCCCATTGGGCCCCCTCTGGAATGCGTGTGTGCAGGACTGTGTAGCCCCAGTCAGAGTTTGAGTTTCTAAATGTTGGCAGACCACACTTCTGTGGGCAGCCCAACAGAAAGCAGAGTAGCAAACATTTGGATAGGACAAACCAGGAAGGACAAGAGAGACAAACACTAGCGGTGATAGATTTGACTTTGACTGGTATTGAGGTCTGTTTGACAGGTAGATGGTGGTCTTATTTGTTTTTTTAAGATGCAGAAAATAAAGCATAAAAATGTATTTTTTATCTGTTTGCTAACAGTGAAAACACATCCCAGTATTTTTACGTAAAGGCATTTGGCTAACATGACGTTGCTTTGTTACGCCTCTGGCACATTGGTTCACATAGTCAAGCTCTCCACAAACAAGCGTATTAATATGCCACAGTGTGACGACAAAGGCAACTCTGTCCCAGTGTTGTATTTTGACCGAGGCATAATAGAGACAGATTCTATCTTAAAGAATCAGCTGGATAACCGAGGAGGCACATGCTGCTCAGACATGAAAAAGAAACCAGGTCATGAACTTCTTCCACAGCACACTGACTTCAGTAGAGCCCTTTTAAAGAATCAAATAACAGTGCTTCACAATGAGGCTTAAGCTGAAGCTAAGATCAGAAAGCAGCGCAACACTGCTGTGAATATATCTGCCTTTTAGTGCATGTTAGTGTATGTGAGCGTGTGCCAATGGCTAGCTCGTGGCCTGCACTGCGCTCATACAGCAGTTATAGCCGATAACGCTGTCCCAACCGATAGCGTCATCATGGAAGCGTAAAGCTTGCTCCTCAGGTAACACCGTCAACTCTGGCAGCGCTGTTGCCGTTGTTTGCACTCTTTGCACCGCTAGCTGCAAGGCATCGCCATGTTGAGATCTGTGTGGTTGCAATAGATATGCTCTGAATTGCATTTTGAGAACCTTTAAACAATCAATCATTTGTAACTATATGTCAGAAAATCGAGAGCACACTCACACGTTTTATCTGACCAACAGTCCAAGGATTTCATTTACAATGACAAACGGGCAAAGGCAGCCACTTCGACAAGCTGGAGCCCAAGAAATGTTTCACTTTTTTCTCTTGATGAATTACTTTTACAAAAAAATTGATCATGAAAATTGCTGTACATTAACTTTCTGTCAGTGGACTAATTCATTAGTTGACTAATTGCTTTACCACTACTGCAAATGTCACCCCTATATTCTGTCAATGTTAGCTACACATTATTAATCTCCTACTTCAAATAGTAAATACAAACATTTGCATCATCAATACGGATGGACTCAGTTTACAGTTAGAAACACATTTCCATGTCTTGAAAATATTGGAAATTCGAAAGTACAGACAAATATTGTTGTTCCGACAATACAATTACCCTGGAGCTGCAAACTTGTCAGAATGAAGAACAATCATTTGTATAGTTGCATAACACAGCTACTAGGGGCAAGACAACTTTCTGCTTCTAAAAACAGTTGAATTTTTTTAAGAAATCCAGATAATTGTGTATTTATAAACTGTGAGAATTGTTTTTGAACGATGAACAAAAGCAGCCATGTTAAACTGCATCTGGTGGGGTTTAAAAGATCATCATATCTCCTCTGTCTATTATGAAAAAAGACCGGGTCCGCAGACAGATCTGACACAGACCACGAGACCTCCGCATGGAGCGGCAGTGCCGCAGCGTTCACCCAAACAGTGCGGCCTTTGATAGCGCGTCACTCACCACCACCCGGGGCCCCCCGACAACCACGGGCCTTCTTTTAATAACACAGCCTGCTCCTCGGCCCAAGAACAATTTTCTTGGGGGAGAGGACGATGGAAACGAGTAAAAAAGAAATGGGGGAGAGAAAAAAGCCCCAGTTTAGGGTTGTAATAATATGAACACATGGCATTTGAGGGTGCCAAGAATAATAAGGGGCTCCAAAACCAGTGCATTCCTTTCAAATGAAACCCCATACTCGCCTGGCAGCCACCATACACTTTTCAACCCTATTCATCATCTAAGAGGAGGACTAAGGTAGCGCTGAAGGAAAATGCACACTCTGACTGCCAGTCATTGGTGTCATTGTCTCCGCTGTGTTAAACTGAAGAAAAAAGCGTAGATTACCAGTGAAACCACCGTTTTCATATCATCCGACACCTCCATGTCAAAATATAAATATCATTCGCCAAATAATTAAAGCTAAGAGTGATGCGGCTTCAGCAGACTGTGCTGTACAATGCAAGATGATTACATGAAACACAGCAGCTTCTGGCAGCACTGCGGTGGGATATGAGAAAGAGTTTTGGGGCTTACCGACTACTTTGGGAAGTTTCTGTCGCCTCAGTGGAATACGGGGGAGTTTAGTGCTGATGCGGCTGAATCGTCCACACAGGATCCGCTTGGCTTTTTTGCTGTTGGTAGAGTTGTCTTGGTTAGGACTGAAAAGGGATGACGCCATGGAAACCCAAATGAATCATTCAAAGGAGGCATATTAAACCTGGCCCTGTGCCTCTTTTTGAGGGCCCACATTGCTACTCGCACAGTAATGTCAATATTTAAAAGTGCTTTAAAATATTTTTAAATGCATTTATCCATTGAACAAACTGGTTCCTGCGAGAGAGAGAGAGAGAGAGAGAGAGAGAGAGAGAGAGAAAAAACATTTTCTTCTGTTTTTATAACCAGGGCAAGCTACTCGAGCCCTCCTATCACGGCGCGTAGAGGTGAAGACACCGATCCGTCACTCACTTGTGGTCGTCTTTGTGTCGACACAGGCAGCAGCAGCACAGCAGGGACAGGAGGACAATCAGTAAAAAGGAGACCAGGGTTCCAGCCGCGATCACGCCCATCCGCTGGTTGGGCTCTGAAAGATGAGATGCAGTGAGTTCTGGGTGTGCCACATTGGCGCAGCAAAACTCTTCATGCCAGTTTCAACAAATCTCTCTCTCTCTCTCTCTGTCATCACCAACACTAGAGACCGTGGCACATAGCAAATTAGTATGATTTACCAAACAAGTGAGTTCAAATGACTCGAGGAGAGGGTTATGCTAACTGTATAATCTATAATGTGCCAGTTAGCTTTGATAATAAAGGCAGAGCGCTGTGTTGACATTAACAACTGATTTTCAATAGCTGCTTGGCATGAAGCATCTCTGAGGAATGTTGCAACAGGCTGAAATGCACTGCAAATAATTCACTATTAATCTCATCTCCCTGCAGACATTGGACCACTTATGCTTTAACTGCTGATTTCCTGCGAGCAGCTTCCTCCCCTCACCCCCTTCTTTACTACGCGCCCCTCACCATAACTCATCGATGATTTATCAGCGCCCCTCCCTCTTCAAGTGGGATACACCCCAAAGATAATAGGTGCTGTGTGTGCCGGAGCATGGATGCTCGCAAGGACAGATGACACCCGGAGAGAAGCAAGCCATCAGTTAAGGGGTGAGTAGCGGCGGCCCGCGGGACTTTACGCTGTCGCATAAGGCTGAGATGGATTGTTGGGCAGTCTGGGCGTGGCATGTTGTCACTGCTCTGTGCTCACAGCTGGATAAAGAATGGGAAACGGTTTGGGGAAAGGTGACGAGGTTTGATGATATCACTGACCAACCTGCCACCGCCCATCATGTCCACTTGCCAAAATCCCTGCTACCTCTGTGTTCTAATCTTCTCCTTGCATGCCTCCAAAGATCTCCTCTTTCCAAACAGTGCACTTTTTTTTCTCTGTCTCCCTTCCAAGTTCTCTTTTTCTCTCTTTTTATTCTCTCTCTCTCTCTCGACAGGAACAGAGCCAACAAACACAGCCATAAAAAGGACACCGGTCTGGGTCTGGAAACGTTATCAAGGCCTCGCAAAGTTAACTCTCCCACTACACATGCTGACCTGAATAGATGTTTGTTGGTACTCTGTGCGTACAGCCAACTATTAGACATTTTAATACACAGGCAGCACAAGCAGCATCTGGCTCTTTGGACAAACAGTTCAGAGGGTTATAATTCTTTTGGTATGTGTAGTCCGACTAGGAAATAACTATCTGTCTCTGGAAAAGTACATTATTTGGAAAAAGAACACTAGTTACTGACTACTGCTGATCAAAGAAACCTCTTTAAAAACACCATAACTACAAAGCATGTGGTTGCTCTTTAAAAAAAAAAGGGGATTTTCTTACGGAGATAGCAAGCACCAGACACAGGATCACAGTTCTTGTCATTGCAAGAGCAGGTTTGGTTGCAGTTCACTCCATACTGGCCAGGTTGACAGGTCATATTGCAGCTTGAGCACAGACAAAAACAACATCTGTTTAATGTTCAATCCAAGTGACAGATGCATGAAATAGGACACAGAAAAAGAGAAAAAGGCATAAATGTGATCAGTTATTTGTTCCAGGCAAAATATGTCCTTTGATGGAAGTTTGTAGGAATTTCACTTTTGTATTTCAAAAGTGTTTTTTATCAGTATCTGAAAAATACGCCTCAAAGCACATGCTCACCTATTCAATTCCCAAGATATACAAGTGTGTGACAAAAGTAATAAGAAAGCCATCAGCCATTTTCACTATGTATTGTAATGCATAAACGTGAGGTTTTTTTTTGGGTACGAGGTGTCTCATGACTTACTAGGTGCCATAAAATCCCGGGTCACACAAGCACTCTCCGGTGACAACATGACAGATGCCGTTAAAACAGTGACTGCAGTTGTTCTCACAGTTCTCGCCATATGTGCCGTTGGGGCAGCGCACCTCACACCTATCAAACACAAGAGGAATGTGGTGATTACAGTCATTTTCAAGCTCATTATTGCAGTATGGAAAACGGTATCACAGTAGCTACTTGTTAAAGGCACTGCCATTATGCTTTTTATGTTGATGCTGAAGGTCTGACTGAACAACAAAAATGCATAGTTTTGCAGGTTTCTTTTCATCACATGTCTCATGGCAGTTCGTAAAGTACGATATCAAGTCACGATATGCAATCTTTTGGGGCGTGAATTGTCCGTTTACTTTGTGTTGCTCGCCACGACCTTTTTTTTCTGGACGACATTACGCTGCAAAACTAAATTTAGCTTCCGTCCACCAAAAAGAAATAACATCCTAATTGGCCAATTGGCATTGTTTACGTGCTGAACGAAATTCGTGTCCACGCAAACAAAACCAACCGATTGCACTTTGTGACTATTTCACGACCTGCCATGATACAGTGCTGTTCATTTACACATTTCTAAAATTGTACTCTTGGTGTTTCCTTACCTGTCCCCAATCCAGCCAGGGTTACAGTGAGAACACTTGCCATGAATGGGGTCGCAGTGGTGACCGTCTTTACAGGAGGGACACACTTCTTGGCAATTTTCGCCAAAGAAGCCTTTGGAGCAGAGCTGGTCACACCGTGTCCCATTCCAGCCCCTGTCGCAGGTGACGCAGCGCCCCTCTGTTATCTTACAGGGCTGCTGGCCTTTACAGTGCCCACACCTGTGGTCAACCAAGGAGAACAGGAAAAGAACAAAGCAATTGTCATTTATCTTGTTTACATGTCTTCTTACTAAAACTGTTTAAGGATCTGAAACCAGATGGACAGAATCTGTTTGTATGCTTTGAATTGTTGCTTTAATGATCGTTTAAAGAGGGAGATAAACAACACTGAACTCTAACCAAGCTCATTTTAGTTTATAGCAACTGTTTCGTGTGAGAATGTCACAGTCCATGGAAGGTAAAGCACTTAACCTGAATTGCTTCTACATGTTTGCCGATGATGACGGGATAATGTGAATACCAACTCCCAAATATCACTATATTATTGCTCAATTAAGTAACATAGTTAGATCTTTTTATGGATTATCAACTGCAGCATATATCAAATCTTATTTCTGACTAAAACTACAGAGCTACACCATTCGGACAAGGGAATTGAACATTAGGCATCTGTAAAACTGCATGTTTCCTGTGTTTTTTTATGTGCTGCATTTGCTCTCTGCTAAGATTTTTTGCCCCACCTGTTCCTGCAGTTTTGACCGTAGAACCCGGCAGGACACGGTTCCCTGCAAAACCTCCCACGGTACCCTGGCGTGCAGGTACACGAGCCGTCCGCTTGGTTGCACTTGCCTTTGAAGCAATGGCAGTAACTTTCACACCGTGGGCCCCACAGTGCCTCTTGGCACTGGCAGCGTCCCGTGAACTGGTCGCACGGTGAATTGTTGCAGTTACACTGGATGGCACAGTTCCTCCCCGTCCAACCAGGATTGCACATACATCGCCCCGTCTTCGCATTGCAGATGGAGTTGATGCTGCAGTAGCAGTTGTTGTTGCACAGGGGACCCCAGATGCCGGGGTGACATGTGCATTTGCCCGTCTCTCGGTCACACTTGCCCTTTTGGCACATGCAAGGATACTCGCAGTTAAGTCCCCAACGATTGTGGTTGCAGGTACACTCGCCGGTCAAGTCGTCGCACTGGCCGTTGGGGTAACAATTACATTTCCCCTTGCAGTCAGGGCCCCAGTACTGGGCCGGACACTCTGTTAAAAGACAGTGCACTTGTCAGGAAATGGGAAACAGCATTCTGACTCGTCATATAACCTTGAGCAATGGCAAGAGCCTGCAGCTGGCGTGGCCAAACTACGGCTTGTGGTCAAATTGCGGCCTGCTGCCTGTTTTTAAATGGCCCGTGGTGAATTTTTTAAATAAACTGGAACATGGCTTGAACCTATTTTGAATATATTTTACTGTATGTACTTTGCACATCCTAGTTTAAACACTTGAATATATTTTTGTGGAATTATCTCTGTCAAGATATTACAATTTCTACCTCTCCTGTTTGTTAAATCTTAATATTAGACTTACAAATTTATATCTTATGTTTACATCTGCATCGTCTTTCAAGTGGGCGCTATGCCCATGAACAGAACTTTAAAAATATTCTGAGGTTATGTGTATATATGTAATTACTTAGTGAGCACTCAGGCCATGCACTGTATTAGAGCTTAAATTTGTTAAATAAATTTAAATTTAATTTAAGAGCAGCAGATACAGTTATAATTCATGTAATATACAGCGTTGGCACACCAATAAATGACTCTAATGCCAAACGTTAGACTGTTTACTATAGAGCTGCATAGTTATGTTGATAGAAAGTTGTTTTGCCATGGCACATGCGGTTTTCTGGTCTAGAAACAAGTATTTTCTTGTAGTGTAACTGTTTGCACTCACACATGTTCTCTTGTTTGGCCCTTGCGATTCTCTTTATATCAAAAAAGGTTTGGCCACCCCTGGTCTACAGCCAAGCTAGTGGCTCTGTGAGGCTTGTCCGAGGCAGATCGGAGCTTTGTGCTAAACGGCAGCATGGCAACGCAATCACGACGGCCACGCTAACATGCTGATGTTTTTGCAGGTACAACATTTACCACTGCCACCATCTTTGTTTAGCATGTTAGCAAACACACGTTCATTTCTTGGCAATCTATCTAATAATTGTTGAGATATTTCAGTGACCTTTAGAGACAGAACAATGTTGCCTGCAACAGAGCAATACCTCTAGCATGGCTAAAAAAAGACCCCAAGTGTGCTATAGTTTTAGTTCTAATACTTGTATATTTCACAGGCGAAAACATTCTATTTAACACCACAGATGAGAGGCAAAAGAAATGCTGATCAGGAAAATGTAGGAAACCCCTTACTAGTGTCACAGCTAGCTCCAAAGTATCCATGACGACAGCGACATTCGTTCGGCCTGACACACACCTCATTTTCATTGCAGGTGAAGTTGCCTTCGCAGAGAGCTTGGGTGAACAAGAATAGGCCGTGTTATTCAACTGGCTTGCACAATGAGCTGCTGTACTGATGAATGTCGTCTGTATGGTACATACGTGTCGGGCACTCATCCCCTAGCTGCCCCCATCCGCTGCAGCACACAAATCCTGGTGATCTGGAAAAGAAGTTGTGACATTGAGAATGAGAGGGCGATGATGAGGAACCTGGCTACAGTGAAACAAACACATGTCAAAGCAGCAGTATCCACACCCAGCTCATGCCTCTTTGATCTCAGTTCTTATTCATGTGGCTGCAAATGTATGCAGGGGATTATACATGACGCATAAACTTTGGACATGGTTGTATAACTGACTGAATTTGGATCATGTGTACACTTAGAAGCCCTTAACCCCTGCATCTGTGTAGTTTATCAGTTTCTTTAAGTTCCCTCAGCCTTTGGGGAAATGTGAATATTCAGAGACAATATTTTGCAGCCGAGTTTTCAGGCCTGTCAGGAAAGGACAGATGCGTCTCCTCTTCCTCCCACGCCTGCGACCTCTGCGGGGCCCCTGCAACACGTCAGCTTCCCCTAAAGTGTTTGAAGATGGCAGTTTGCTTTCAGTCAATGAGCAGGGATCAACGCCGTTATTTATGCTGCCAAAATAAGCGCGTGGGAGAGATCACAGGTCTATGCTCTGTGTGCTTTCACTTGTTATTGAAGGTAGCTGATTTCTAAATAAGCCTTTTACCATTTAATGTACATAACATGGCAATGGGTTCAGCTTTTTGCAGCAGTGCTGTATGGACAAACTCCAGTCAACATGTATGGAGCTGACTCTTGTTGCCCTTTTTTAAAAACACACAGCCAACCCGTGTCAGCGCCAGAAAGAAAGGTTGCAGAATTCATTAGTTGTGTGGAAGCATAGCTGCACTTGCGCTGCTGTTTACCTTTCATCATAAAGAATTGTTCAACTCCCTTTGCCAAGAAATTCAATAGCTGCTCTTTAACTGATTCAAAAATCCATTTTTCTGAATCAGTGCTGAAAGCATCGCATTCAAGTCATAAAAAGAAACATAATGGAAAAAACAGGTGAGTGGAAAGTTCACTGCAATGAATGTTGAATGCTGGAAGGAGGGCAAAATGTCAGTGCTTTATTTATGTTTCACTGGAAACTTCACAAAGCACTAAAGGCGATATGTTTCTGGTGAATGACGATTTGTTGCTCAGCGAAGCAACGAACAATCTACGAGAGATGACAGCGCAACGGGAACTTTTGAAGAACAGCCCTTGATTACATTTCATTGTGACCGCACGAAAAGATGCAGCCTGTGGCTTTTCAGATCCAAACACTGTGACTGCTTGTGTTTCAAGAAACAAAAAGGCATATAGCCTAGTAAGCACATGGTTCCTTATCACACATCTTTTATGGCATATTGGAGAATGAGCCCTCGAATACATTTAATGTTTCTCGTCTAACACAATTTCAAAATACATAGACATCAGTCCAACAAGTGTGGATGCTGCAATCAGCAATAATGGGCCTGGGTTTGTTTTTTTTCTTTTGCACTAGTCACTCCAAAGGTTCAGATATAATCCTGGAGGTCATCCAGAGATGCTTTTTGGATACCTTAACTTTTGAGAGAGAGAGAGAGAGAGAGAGAGAGAGAGAGAGAGAGCTGTCTAAATATGTGGATTCCTGGAATACAATACTCTGACTTTATTTTGAAATATCAACTGTCAACTAACATGTGCTCCTTTTAAACATGTCATAAACTTCACACAAACAAAAGGTAACTTCTAAAAGTGCATTATCAACCACATATGCGTTATCAAACTGTGCCACGAATGCTGTGACTTTGAATGAGAGCGCCCCCTACACACTCCTGTTCCAGATGTACACATCTGTATAGCTGCTTTCTGTAACAGACTCCTCCTCCTGCTGTACGGTGGACCGGGAACACGTTAAGTGTAGAAAAGAAAGAGCTCACCGTGAATATATGCAATGTGGTAACAACAATGCTTGTTATGAACGTGAAATACAAGTTTAGGCAATTAATTCAGTGGTTGATTTCAACTAGTCTAATCATTTAGTGAAAACCGCTATTCAGGCATTAGGCAAACACTGCAAAAAATGTCAATATTTTTTGTGTTTTTAGTGTGCTCAGTTCTAAAAAAACATTATTTTTCAAGGAACTCAAATATACGTGAGGAATGAGATGACAGAGGTTTTTGGTTTATAGTGCAATATAAACCCTTAACTTCAAAAAAAAGTAAAGAAGAATGAGGCAAAGATGTCACGAGAGAAACTTCCAAACAAGCTGATTTGCATTAACAACTGCTGCTTCAAGTCCTACTTTTCTGCACTGATGCTTACCCAGGTGCTTTGCATACATTCCTGCCTTTGGGATTGAGTTCTTGGCTGAAAGTGGTGCAAAAGAAGAGACAAACCACCGCAACAACAGCAAAAGAGTTCTTCACTTCCATTGTACAAGCAGCAGCATCCTTCTAGACGCCGTTTCCACTCCGCATTTCCCTTCTCCGAAAAGTGACGACGCTGGCTTTTCCCTGGTCTTTAAACACCCCGATTTGTTTTCACGCACATAATCCAGATGTGTCTGCTTGGTAAATATCAAACCCTTTCCGTTCCAAAAAGATGATTGAACAAACCCTTGCAACCATCTACGCCATTGAAAAACTCAGCAACTTCAAAAAAAGTGACTAGCGACAACAGACCCAAGGAAAAAGCTGGAAATAAGTCAGGAAACCAAAACTTGAAAATCACAGTATTCTTGATACACGCTGTTCTCCTACAGTGCGCCGTTTATTCCACCAAAGTTTCTAAAAGAGGCAATCGTGCAAAGCCCGTTGGTCCAGACTCATAATGAAATAACAAAAAAAAAAACGTTTTTTCCAAAACAATGCCCGCAACGCGCGTGGAAACGTGTCGATATCATGATATTCTTGGAAAAAAAATATGCAGGCGAATCAGCTGCCTTTCCGTTTGTTCCTCTCTGAGGAGAAGCGCTTAATCCTTAACTTCTGTCCTCTCTTGCGCTCTCAGGAGTGGCAGGAGGGAAATTCCTGATTTGTTACTCTATCTTTGGCTTTGTGCGCCATGCGTGCGCCACCAAATTTACATAGGCCTGTGTGCAACAGGGTCTGTTTCAGTGGCCTTGGTTAAAACAATGACTTGTGGCATAATTTGGTATTTTAATAAACAAAAAGTTCACGTGGGCGATAAAGGAAGAGCACAGCGTTTTTTCATAATGAAAATGACCACTACTGTCTTTATCATCATTATTGATAATTGCGTACTTTAAGCATCTGTGAATCGTCAAATTTAAAATGACAAATTTGTACATGTGGATTGTATTTGCAGTAAACTACTTTAATAATTTAAGGAAGTGTTTAATTGATGCACGAGGAGAGTGTGTGTGCCTTTGTTTGTGTGTGTGGGGGGGTTGGAGGGGCAGCAGTGTACTAACTATGTTAGACAATAGCTCCCCCATCTGTTAACACCAACGAAGTTATTTTGGCATATGGCACCTCCTGCAAAAAGTGCAAGGTCTCCTGACCAGTGGAAGCTAATGAGAGGGGGAGGGGGGAATGCATTTATTAAATCAGATGTAACATTATAACATCCAGTCCAATGCCTTGTTCTGGCACAGTGCATCTTCTCTTCTTACAGAGACAATCCACAATATGATTGTCAGGGGCGTTAAGGGGGTTTACGACCAAAATATAGTTATTAATCACCCCTCACAAAATGTTATGACATTGGCATAATCCCTTATCCATAACAAAACCCACAAAAACGTATATACTGTATATATATATAAGTTATATAATGCATTTGTGCTGTTATGCATGTAAAAAGTTCCAGTGAAGAAATGTGACACTTAGTTAGCATGAGATATTTTGTCTTGCAAATTATGCTGAAAGGTACTCGGGTGCTGCTTATATGGCCACAAACTAAGGCCCCAAATTATGTGGCTGACTAATGCATCAGCCAATCACAAAGTGCATGAGGAATGACTGTGCCAAAACAATCAGTTTTACAAGACATGTAGGTCCTTTAATTAAGTGAAAGTAGCGATGCCATAATGGATACTCATTCCACTACAAGTAAAAGAACAGCGCTTCACAAAGTAAAAGTGGGTTTCATGGGTTTAATCAGCCAAATGTACTTCATAAGAGCATCTCTTCGAACATACTTCTGCACTAATATAGTCAGTGTGATGTTATGGGTGAACTGTACAGTGTAGCCTATATTCAGTCTAGTCTCTATTATGTTTTTCTAGTTCATTTATCATTTAATGATGCATCATCTCTTATGCTTTAGGGATTTATGCATCTTCACTTCTGTAACACTGCTATTTCCCATCGATCCATCCTTTTGTTGAAGCTAGTTGAGGTAGAGCTAACCGGTAACTTGCATATGGAGTAGCCTACCACTTTACTGATTAAAGTAAATAACTAACTTGTGTTTTAGTGCAACGAATATATACCATATTTCTACTTGCATCAAGGACTATAGAAATGCTGCTTCAAGGACTATATAAATGTTTAATACACACACACACACACACACACACACATACACACACACACACACACAAACATATATTAGGTTCCCTGGGTTGCAGTGTATGTGAATGACATCATTTGACAGGAAGTACACATGGACCAAAGTTGTGCCTAACAATGGAATTCAGTTGAGAAAGTACACCACCAACCTGTCTGTTGTCTATAACGAGGGGAAAAAAGTCTTACAGCAGTGCACCTATGACGTCAAAAAAAAAGAAGTTTGGGAGTGAAAAAACAACTCTTGCGTCACAGGCTGTATCCACCAACCGAGTGATGCTCATGTTTTGGCTTCCTATCGGTTTACACTGAAGCGTGCGCAGCTCGCACTGGCTGCGCAACTTGGCCGCACCGCTGATGTCTACCTCCTGCAGGCTGATGTTTCACGTCAAAGCCGGGCCAGCTCTCAAGCGGTTCGTCCTCAGCCGAAGACTCCGGTCCTCGACCTCCGCGACCCAGACGCGGGACGACGTGAGCAGCCGGGGAGAGGAGGGAGAGACGGAACCACCTCCTCCTCCGCTGCTAATGAGATCTCCGTAGACTTTGACCAGACACAGGGGGCATTTAAGAGCAAAGACTCATTAGAGCTGCTCAGAAGTTTGGTGGTTTTCAAACTCTGCTCCTATGACTTCCTGGTTGAAAAGAATACAGAGGTAACTCGGCCATTAACCACGTTTATGCGCGTTGTCCAGGTGACTTTATGCCCACAGCATCTTAAACAGGTAAAATAGGTTAGCATGCTTGTTTCCTCTTATGTGACATTTTCACATAACATAAGCGGGAAGAAATTAGTCTCCAAATGTGTCTCCAGACATAACGTATGCGTAATGTTTAGCAGTGGGCACAGATACATTGTATCCGTTTTATACAGATAAGCCTATTTGTGCAGAAAGGCCGCAAGTTGTGTTCAAGATAACCAAAACTTCAGTCTTCTAGCGTGTGTGCAACTTTTGACTTCAGGTAGACTTTAATGTATGCGCCTCGGGTTTGCTTATGGTAACGCCCACATTTCAAATTACGACTTGTTTTTCCAAGTATGCAACCTCTCTGCAGCCCATGTTACATCATTTAGGCTTGATCTCAGATCATTTTACAACGTTATAATGTCTTATCTAGTAATGTCAATACACTGTATATAAACGGATTGGCCATACGACACACGTGTGGTGCATATGGAGAGTCATTTCATAGACTTTTGCAGCACTGCAGGTTCTTTCCTTCCACACTTCTCATGCCTTCATGTAATCAATGGAGAGCTTGGCTGTGGTTTGTGAAAGCAAGTAGCTACACAGAATGTTAAGCAGTAGTAATATAATCTGGCGAAACGCAGATTTTTTTAGTGTAGCTGTTAAATTTCATATGTTGTCCCTGTTTTAGTCTTTAGCTTGAGGGTAAGAACATGACTTGAATTCCTTTGCTTACGAAGGATCAGCATGTGACTGTTCGTAGTCTCTCAGTGAAACCTGTTGCTTATAAAACCGGTCTTTTCTGGGACAGAATGACTCACTGAAAATACCCTGCAGTAAATGACATGTAGAATAAATTATGAGCATTTTAAACACCTGTCAAAAAAAAAACCATGAACTGGTTTTAACGTCCTCTCCCTTTCTGCTCAGATAATGGATCTAGGTAAGAAGATCCTGGGCGAGCGAGCCTTCAACCAATTCATGAAGATGACCTGTTACGGCCAGTTTGTCGCCGGTGAGGACCACGTGTCCATCAGGCCGCTGATCCAGAAGAATCAGGCCTTCGGCGTCGGCTCTGTCTTGGACTACAGCGTGGAGGAAGACAGCCAGGAGGAGGCCGGGCAAAAAGAGATGGAGTATGAGAATATTATTACACATTTCATGCAACTAAACAGGATTTCAGGATTTGAATAGATGTCAACAGTTGGTATTAAAGTGTGGAGGAATCATTGGTGTACAAACATACAGTCAGCTCAGTTATATAAAGATTAAAAGAACTTCGTGTCTCGTTTTAATTCTCGCATCACCTTGCAGAGTATTTTCCACGTGCTTCATGTCAGGTTTATTTTAATATGCCTCACAACCAGGAAGTAAACACTCTCCACAGCATGATTTGCTGGCTCAGTCGTGGCCCCTCGCTCTGGATTGGCTGGCTGGAGAGAAGTTCTCACCCGGTAGGAATCCTGTCACATGGGGTAGCACACAAGGCAGTGTGGCTATTTGATCTGTGAGCTGATGTTAACTTGGATGACAGTACCGACCTTATGCGAGCCGTCTCTCTATGGGCCGAGGCAGCAGCAATGCTACTTAAGTTGTAGCTCTGGGCGTTCATGCATTATGAGTAATTAGGACATCTCGTAGTCCAAAATACATTACGAACCTTTTTTTGGCCTATTTAGGAGTCGCTTCAACGTCGAATCAGTGAACAGAAAGAAAGTAAAGCGAATATTATTTGGAGCCTTTTTTCATTGATGTTAAAAAAGACAAATTCACTTGTCAGGTTTACTTTGCATGTGTATAAAAATCAGCCCAAAGGGCAGATCTTATTTTGTCTTTAAGACCGACTTTTTATCTATCTCGCACAGCATCTGTAGATTCATAAAGGTCAGACATAGTGAATAAACAAGGGTGTTAGGCAGTATGTTTATGTTTAAATCTGTTGACGTAAAGTGACTGCACTGTCGTAGTTGTTTTATCGTGTTGTATCACAAGCTGTAAGGAGATAAAGCTACCAGGCTCACCTTTCTTGTATTTCAACGGGTGTACGTGTTTCTTTTAATACCATACCACCAGTAAGAAGATATCACTGCTTTGCACGGCTTTGATATACTTTGTCTTGGGGATGTCTGCTCGGAAACATCAAAAGAAGAATCAAACCTCAGCCTCGAAAGCTTTTGTTTGGTGAACATACACCTTCAGACGGTAAAGCAGGAGGACAAGATACTTTAAGCCAGCTTGATCTCAGACAGCAGGGTTTGACAGGCACTCCCAATGATCTGCCAAGATAGCAACAACAGCATTAGCTCCTTCCAACAGAAAGAAGATTTAAGGATCAGAGGCCTCAGGCCTGGCTTGATGTTGAGAGCATGATACTTACTTATGCCAGGCTTCAGTTCTGTGGGCCATTTACACTGAAAATACATAGCCCTGATTTACACTTTGGTTTATATTTATGCATTCTTTTGAAGGGCCGTACAGAGTTTATTGTAAAAAATAAACTGACATAAAACAATACATTATATTAAAATATACCTTCACATGACAACATTTTATTAATAATCAGTGCTTCTAGAATTTAAGTCATGGCTCAGTTACAACCTCAACTGGAACCAGTACTGACAGGGTTTTATCACCCAGCTACTCGGTGCTATGTAAAGCTCTGAAATGTTTAGTTTTATCTTGAAGTCCGCATTATAAATAAATCGATCTTATTAGTATTTTTGAGTAATCAGTAAGTCTAAAATATGTTGGACACTAATGAAGAAATGGCCAGAGCCCAAGTTGATATTTTATAGTAATTAGTTTTATCCGACCAATGGTCCAAAACCCCAAAACATTTAATTT